CGAAGGAAATCCCAGTTTGCTCTCTGGGCTTCTATGCACCTCCAGCCGAAGCCCCACATAAGAAGACGACCCTGAACCTTTGCCACCCCGACTGGGCCTTTTCAAGGCTAGCACTCTGAGAAGCACATAATTGCCAGAAACCCTGAAAGCCCAAAACCCTAAACCTAAAAGCCCTCAAAACTGCCAGAAACCCTGAAAGCCCAAAACCCTAAACCCAAAAGCCCTCAAAACTGCCAGAAACCCTGAAACCCTAAACCCAAAAGCCCTCAAAACTGCCAGAAACCCTGAAACCCTAAACCCAAAAGCTCTGAAACTGCCAGAAACCCTGAAACCCAAACTCAGAGCGACAGGAACTCTGAGGCCTCAAGGCGCGGGCCGTCTGCCGGAGGGCAGCACGAGCCTGCTCCGGTTCCGGGGACTTTGAGGGTGCCAGGTTTTCGGGTTTAGGGTGAAGGGTTCAAGTTTAGGGTTTTGGGTTTAGGGTTTAGGGTTTAGGGTGGATTTTGAACCCTTCTCCCCCCTAGGGATTTGGCATGGGGTGTCTCAGCTTCGGGTTCGGGGGCTTCGGGTCTTGGGTACCTTCCCTTTACTGCTACTATTAGAGTGGGCCGGGAATCTAGAACCACCAAAGGGTGCAAGATGGCATGCAATCTTGCCCCACTTGCCCCACTTGAGGGGGTGTGTCGGTTTAGGGTTTAGGGTTTAGGGTTTAGGGTTTAGGCAGTCTTGGTCTAAATGCCTCCCCCCCCACCCTTTGCTCCCAAGGGGGCAAGTGGGGCAAGCAAGATGACCGCCCGGCAAAGGTTAGTGGTTCTAGAGTCCCGGCACAACATACCCTAAACCCTAAACCCTAAACCCTAAACCCATATTAAGACTCTTCAGGAAGGCAGCAAGGAATCCCCTGCCTCGCACACGGACGCCAGAGCGCCCAGAGTGGCCACGAAGACACACGACTTCCTTGGCACGGCAGAAGTAGTAGTAGTAATAATAACAATAGTAATAATAATAAGAAGAAGAATCAGAATAGCAATAACAGTAATGGTCATAATGGTAGTAATAGTAGTGATAATGTTAGTGTGCACTGTTCTGCAAGGGAATCTCCGAAGCCCCAGACCCCAAACCCTGCACATTCTTAACCCTAAACTCGTAACCCTAAACCCTAAACTCTACACCCTAAACCCTAAACCCTAAACCCTACACCCTACACCCTAAACTCTTAACCCTAAACCCTAAACCCTAAACTCTACATTTTTCTGGAGCTGGGGCTGCAAGACCGAAGCGTCGGGTCTGGGGAAATTCAGGGCCAGGCGCGTTAAAGAGTTCGACCTTGGGGAGACTTCGGGGGTCAAAGGTTCTAGGTTTAGGGTTTAGGGTTTAGGGTTTAGGGTTTAGGGTTTAGGGTTTAGGGTTTTTGTTTTTGAACGCCTTGTTCCATCAGCAATCCGCGTCCAGAACCCGCACCAGGCAGGAGGTTCTAGGTTTAGGGCTTAGAGTTTACAAGCGTCAGATCTCAAGCAGCCTTTCGGGCTTAGGGCGGAGGCCATTTTCCTTGAGAGTTTTGGGCCTAGGGGCCTGAGAGTTTAGTGTTCTGCGCGTTCGGGCCTGCTCCGTGTGGTTGCTGGGTCCACGGCATTGTCTGCGGATGAACTGATCAGGCAGCTGCCTGTTGAGGGTGCTGTTTTTCGTAGCATTTAGGAAGGAGGAGCTTCGGAAACGATCGGGCTTTCAGGAAACCAGCTGTCTTGCAAGTCTATCACTTCTGGGTTAGGGTTTTCGGGAAATTGCCTTCTGCAGTACCCCAGCAGGACATGATACACGTTGACGAACCTCGGGAGCTGCAATACCTCCGGAAGCCTACTTAAAGCTCCGCACACGTGAAGGTCTGTGCTCAAGATATCTCACAATCCGCCTAAACAGTTGGTCCAAAACATGTGCCCTAACGCGTACAAAAGCACTGGAACTTGCTGTTTGAGTTCTACAGAGGAAACCACTGCCCGGAATCCGAAGCCCCACGTCCAAAACGGAAAAGCTCCAGGGTTTTGTTTGGAGTCAGGCTTTAGCGCTTCCAGCCTCGGTCTTACAATAATGACTGATTATTTCTATGAATACTACTACTAGTGCTAGTAGTAGAAGAAGAAGTAGCAGTAGTAGTAGTAGTAGTAGTAGTAGGAGTAGTAGGAGTCGTAGGAGTCGTAGGAGTAGTGGGAGTAGTAGGAGTAGTAGGAGTAGTAGGAGTAGTAGGAGCAGAAGGAGTAGTAGGAGTCGCAGGAGTCGTACGAGGAGTAGGAGGAGTAGGAGGAGTAGGAGGGGTAGGAGGAGTAGGAGTAGTGGGAGTGGGAGTGGGAGCAGGAGTAAGAGTAGGAGTAGGAGTAGGAGTAGGAGTAGGAGTAGGAGTAGGAGTAGGAGTAGGAGTAGGAGTAGGAGTAGGAGTAGGAGCAGGAGCAGGAGTAAGAGTAGTAGTAGTAGTAGTAGTAGTAGTAGTAGTAGTAGTAGTAGTAAAGTAGCAGTGGTGGTAGCAGCCTCGAACCTCTTGGCAAGGTTGCGGAAGCAGCCTCGGTTGAGTCGCGCCTTATAGGGCCTTCAGGGTGCTAGATTTGAAGTGCGCCTGGGGTCAATGCTGTCTTAGGGTTTAGGGTTTAGGGCGCTATCTGGGCTTGAAGGGCTCAAAGGCTGAGCTCGTAATGCTCTTGGGGCAGAGTTGGAGGCTTCGAGGCTGATTCGAGTCTAAAGCTAGGTCTCTGTACCACACCACAGACCGCCGACTCCCACAACCGACTCCTACGACATGGAAACCTCCTGAGCTCTCACTGCTGCTCATGCAAATCCAACGCTCCATGTCGTCAAGAGTTTGGAATCCACAAAGATCCCAGGAGAGACCCTGTAGTCTCTCACCAAAAAAGACGAAGCTTCAACTCAAGCTACTGAGGTCCCGTGATCCCTTCGACCAGATTTTGCTGGCTTCTGTGCTCCGCAGGATGTATGCTTTAGGGCCTGGTTTAAGGATTAGGATTGCTTTTAGACACCGAGCTAAGGATCCCATCAGCCACCCATCAAGCCCGCAATTTGTTGTCAATAATCCCCTGACCCCTGGACCCCCTCACCCAGCTGCTAAAGGCACACCCACGACTGCAACAAAAACAAGACAACGGGCTTCATCTGGGCTCCGTGCGAACAAGGAATCACACGGAAACCCTGTCCCTATGCACAGAACAGCTTTCCTGTGAGCCAAAATAGGGACCATGGCCATCTCACTTTGAGGAAATCAGGCAAAGGGATCGAGGCGCAGGATGAAGGGTTTCAGGGAATCTGGGCCCGACTTCGTAAGCCGACAGCCTGCCTCCGAGGAGGTGAAGTGAACTGAAAGCCGAAGCCCCACTGCCGGCAGAGCCCAGTCTCAAGCTACTGAGGGCCCACCAAAGCGAGGCTTTGCAGGGCTGGGACATTCAGAAGACCGGCTCCTGACCTCACAGTCGCAACTACCGCAAGCACGACGCTGCATTTTCTCATGCTGCGGCAACACCTCGGGGTTGCCAAGTTACTCAAAGTTGCCACTGCTGCCCTTGCAGGCTGCAGGGCTTTATGTCTGGAGTGTGAAGGGTGCTGTCAGCAACTCAGCAATGCATCCCGGCTCATCGTCATTGGACGGCCTCCCTCTGCACCAGCAAAGGGGTGCCAAGTCAGAGCCAGTTTGCAACGCGGTCCTGCTCTGACATGCCGCAATGCAGCCCGCCAGCCGGATTGAAACCAGCGGGCAGGAGGTTAAAACCATACTTCTATATGAACAGCATTCGCGTTCGTTCCAGGAGCCATGTTGGACAAGCAACATATTCCACATCACGTCTGGACGAAGCAAACACAGATCAAACTTGATGACATAACTTATTGACTTGCCGCAGTCCAACATGACGCCTTCAACCCAACCCTGCGATCAAAGGCAGTACGACCGTGGCTCGATGAGAAAGCTACAAGGAGCCAAGATGTATACAAATCCACAGCACTCAAGCGCTCAGCGCCCTTTCAATCAAGCTGGCTCTGCCTCGCTCGCAAACCAAGTGAATTCAGTGTCACAGGTGATCGCTTGGACTGCCTGCAAGACTGATGCTGCAGCAGCACCTCAGGGTTGCCAAGTTCTTCAAAGCTGCACCCAGCAGATGGTCATCTTTACAAAAGCGACGAGGCCTCCCTCTGCACCAGCAAAGGGGTGCCAAGTCAGAGCCAGTTTGCAGCGCAGTCCTCGTCATGCAGCCACCGACTGCTGTGACATGCTGCAATGAAGCCCGCCAGCGGGACTGAAAGCCGCAGGCAGGAGGTGAAGACAATCCTTTCTAAAGGAACATCATTCGCAGACGTTTCGTGCCAGGAGCCATGTTGGACAAGCAGCAAATTCTGCATCAAGTGTGGACCACGCAAACAACACAGTTCAGATGACTGGAGTTGGCTCGACCTGGCCACAGCCCAACATGACACCTTGAAGCGGAGCCCCGGGATGAAAAGCTGTGCAACCACAGGGCTCCATTAAAAATCTTAGCTAGAAGGAGCCAAGATGCATTCCAAAGCACTCAAGGGCTCGGCGCCCCTTCAAACAAGCTGACCCTGCCTCGCCTCGGGAACGTGCACGAAGCAGGTCCAGAATCAAATCCCCTCACCACGAAATCCTCAAGCCGCAGCTCCGAAACTTAAAGCTGAAGCACGGCTCCTTGCATCAATGCGTGCTGCTGGTCAAGCTCAGATCTTAAGAGATCCAGCTGCGCGTCAACCATTGCAGGAGATCTGCATGGAAAGTATTTAACCTTCGAGGGACAACTGCAACAAGCAAATAACTGCGACAGAAGCTCATTCCTCCGTGCCAGGACTCTATTGCTCGCAGAGAGCCATGCTGGTGTAGACATGTTTAGCTGCTTACTGTCAGACTCAAAAGACTGCAGTCAGATAACCGGAATACAACAGACAAGCGGCGAGCGCAAGCAAAGGTAGTCGAGCAAGGCGCCGGTTGAGCTTGCTCAGGTCGCGCCTGTTGACTTGAAGGCGTGTTGCTCGTCCGAGTGGAGTTCCTGCCCGAACAGGTGCAAAAGACCGGCCGCCTTCTCTGTCAGCTCGAGCTTCCGAAGCCTGTTCTGGATGTGGGGGAGGAGAAGGGTCCTCACATCTTCCTTCCGCATCGTTTGCATGAGCTGGCGTTGGGTTTTTTCCATTTTCAGAGGGGCTGTGCGGTGCACGTCGTGGCAAAAGCGGCACGCAGAGCCGAGAGAGCAGGAACCACCCTTCGCGATGTGCACGCAAGGCCGCTGGCAAAGCTGTGGATGTCCCAAACTGCCATGGGAAGCCGGTAAGAACTGGAGGAAACCGCCCACGTCTTCAAAATATGCAGCCGAAGGCGAAGAAGAAACAGAGGCCATGCTTGGCTCAACGATTCCGAGGCGCGTCACGGTTCTTGAGCCGACACTGCCAGAATGCTGAAGGATCTTTCTTGACAGATGGCAAGATTCAACAAACTCCGCTTGGCACTTTTCAATATCCAACAGCAACCTTGGGGCCCACTGCCATCATTGCAACTATCATCAGAATCCTTTTTATTGCACTCCTCATTTCCCTACTTGGTCCCAGATGGACATACATACATAAATATATACACGCACATACGTATTATAATTTTCATATTGCTGTAGTGCATACCTTTTTAATTCTACGTGTTCAGTGTTCAACATCCTTCTCTCATTCGTCTTCATCTCCTAAATCAACGAAAGGATCGTCGTTGTGTTCAACCTCACCATTATCACGACCACCATCATCTTGTGGCAACCACATCCACCACTGTCAGATCCTCATCATCTCAGACAAACCAGGGTCAACTCGAAGAAGCAGAGGCAAGATTTTGCTACGGCCGCCGTGTCCAAATCCATTTCTGGATCCAGTTCCGCACCTGCGCCTTCACATCACTGGATGCAATAGAGCCCTCGGCGTTGTTCACGGGATCCTTGTTGGCTCTGTCGGGCTTTACAATAGGCGTGTAGGAGTGGAAACGGTCAGAGACGGACTGAGACATCCACCTGGGACCTCGACTACGAAGCTCCCAACAACGCATGAGGCCACAAATCGTCAGCACCATTATTGCTATCGTTAGTCTTGGCATTATCATCGTCGTCATCATCATCAGTAGTAGTAGTAGTAGTAGTAGTAGCAGTAGTAGTAGTAGTAGTAGTAGTAGTATCATCATCATCATCATCATCATGTGGGGTTTAGGGTTTAGGGTTTATTGTTTAGGGGTTTAGGGTTTAGGGTTTAGC